TTGATAAAAGGTTGGCCTGACAGACCAACCAATCAATTACTTCCAGTGTAAAGAAAAATATTTTATTTGTCATCTTAAATCCAAACAGAACAATACCTGTACACATTGACCTGGGCTTACTGTACATTCTTCATATGTCTGTGCAGGTGGCACACCTGTGATAAGGCTGGAGATGATTAGAGGCAGGATGAGCATCTTCAGCATCCTCATGAGGATTTCTCCAGGGAAGGAAACCATAGTGAGGACGGAGCTGTCCGTCACCTTCATGTACCGCAGCAGCATCCCAAACAACACTCCCATAACAACACCTGAGGACAAGAGTGGAGAAGTTTTGTTTTTGCATTGCAATAATTCTGCATATTGTGTGCAAATTGGTTTCTGAAACGATTTAAAAGGTCCCCTTGCTTCAAAGAGCAGCTCATTAGGTTCAGTTTCATGAAGATTGTTGTAGATTATGTGTGTACATGGTTAGATGTAAAGAAAATTAAAATTGGTACAAAATATCAGCACCAACTATTAGAAACTGGTATTGGCCTTCAGGAACCAAATATTAATACACCCTCAGTTTTTAGGTTTTATGAGGACTCACTGGCCTACTTCTCTTCTCCCCCAAAAAGTGTTCTGTTACTTCTGACATGTAAGAGACCTCTGACTAATGAGAACCGTCTACTGCAATGTAAACGGGTTTAAATCTGGGTGACAAATGACAGACAAAAATAACACACTTCTTGACTTTGCAAGGGCTTTTTTGACAAAGAACACAGCTATGTAGAAACATACCAAAGTGTTTACAGAGGCAGACTAAAGACAACAACAAGATCCCTCATGGGAAAATGATCACGGGGTCTGTATATCTAGGATTGTGTGTGTTAATATTTGCTGCGGCTATTTTTCTGAAAAATAAAACTGACCTTAAATGGAATTGTAGTCATTCCGTAAAAAAATGTGGGGGTTTGGGATGTTAAATTATATTGCCCAAAACTGAAAAACATTTTTAAATGTTTCTCTGAGTCACTGTTTCTGAACTTTTATTCTATTATTAACATCTACAATCCAGCTTTCACAACCTGATGGGCTGCAGAATAATATCAGGATACATATTTAGCTTGAGTTTCAATGCATACCCCCAACAGTAAGTCCCAGCAGCAGGCTGTGGGTGTTACGGCTGCAGTGGCCCGCATCTTTATACGCAACTTCAGTGTTGTCATCTTGTTGGTTTTCTTCTTTATTCTTCGCCTTGTTTGTGTTGGACTGGTTGGCTGTCGACTGGTTTGTCATCCTGCCTGCAGAGACAGTTGGAGAGATTGGTTTACTGCTGGGAAAATACATGCTTTAACACCATTCAGCACATGCTGGCCTGCAAAGTATTCAGTGTTGGTTAATGATGCACCCTTGGCTGCTCTTTAACTGATTTGTCATATGTGAAGATGCTGGATTGTTTATAGACTATCTTAACAAAGCATTCTTCTCCTGTGGCTGGCGAGGACTCACATTGTTGCCATTGTGGGTGGCTGACTCTGTTCTTAAAGGAGGATTAGGGACAACCAGAGCTACCTACTACTCACTCACATAATAGAAATGTCCCTGGAGTATTTGGTTTAGGGATGTTAAGCAGTACAACTGCAGGCAACCCAAACACAGCAGGCAATGGCTAAACAGGACATGAAGAAACATCTCGAGAGATGTAATCTGTAATCATCCTCGAAATGGAAATCTAAATACAACTCAGTATAGAGTTGCTGATAAAGGAAGCTATATGGCTAACGACTCGGATAGGAGCCATAAGATGTGGCCCCCAGCTGTCTGACCACTTGCATGGCTCCTATCTTCCCTCTGCTCCTGGAGTGATCACAGCACGCGCCATGGTGCCTGGTCCAGCTGATCTGGCTGGTTGGATCGTGTCAAAGGCCGCTGCTCTTTAATCCAAACCCCCACACTTCCTTTTTTGATGATTGTAGGCTATTTCTGTCATGGGTAATACGTGTTTTGGGTGTTTAGCAGGTATAATGTTTAACATTTGCTAATTATCCCTCAAAACAAAGTACAGTTGAGGTTGATGTGAACTATCATTAGTTTGCAGTTATTTGGTTGTAAACTAAAGTATTGAATAAATTAATAATTTGACTAGAAATGGTGTGAGATGAAAGGGTAGGATGCATTCTAAGTTACTACAATGCATCCTGATTGGTACATTAATGGTTTTACAAAATTTCATGGCCATGTGCCAAAATCTATCCAATAGTTGTTTAAACATTTCACTCATACCACACATGTCAAATGCATGGTGGTGCTAGAAGACTCTGGAGTTACCTCATCTGGGAATCATAAATAGCTGTACATTACAATTTTGTGCCAATCCAATATGTAGATGACCTGCTGGTGGTGCTAGACGAAAGCTGTTGTAAATTATAAATTAAATGATTTAATTCTGATTAATGATGAAATATGCATTCCATGCTTGCCAATCCTCTCCAGTTTTAATTCCTCTGATTTCATGATGAAATATCAAAATCTGCCCATCCATTATATTTATTAGAAACAATATCACTGCTGTTTGTGATTAAGTTTTTTAAATGATGTACTATCTGTTCCACATATTTGTCAGTTGTTTCTAAAGAGAGAGCGTGAGACAAGCAGACATAGACCCACCCCTGCTTATCCATGAACACATAATTCACGAGCTTGCTGTACATGTGATTAGAAAAGACACTCACACACAAATCGACCTATTGCGGCACGTCGTCTCCTGTGTGTCCTGGGCATCAGGGGATCACTAAAGTTATTAGGATTGCTTCCCTTGGTAACATGGACATCTATTCTCAATTTCATGTCAATCCCTCCTATAGCTGTTGAGTTATTTCACAAAAAAAACAAAATTTCAACCTCATGGTGGCACTGCATGCTTATGGCAAGTGTTATGGCCAACCCTTCCAGCAGTGGTTGAGATATTTCAGTCCGGACCAAAGTGCGGGACCAACTGACATTGATATGCTTAGAGCAACAGTGCTAGCATTGCTACAAAAATGCAGTTCAGTCGTACTGAATGTGAAAAAGGTTTAATCATTTAGTTTAGAGAGAAGAAATGTATTCTTATACTTGGAAGTCCATACATCAGAGTGCATTTAACAAATTTTCACCCTAAAGTCATATCACTGCTTCTTCTGTCACAGCTCTCCAATTAACAACTTGTCAACTGTTTTACTCAAACTCTATTTTAGCTCCTGTGTGTTAACACAGGATTGTTATGGAAGCAATCACATTCTCTTCCAAGGCAGAGTCATAATCTTCAACACAAAGAAAAAGTCAGCAAGTAAGAATGTGTCCACTCCAATAACACAACACATTTCTACTTAACAGAGAAAATTTTAGAGACCCCAACGCCACCATCTCTAAACATTAACCATATATAAACACATCTGGAGAGCAGCGCAGCCATGCCAAATCCTTGTCAGAAGTATGAATGTCACATTTACAAACAGTCTGACCCAGTGAGACAACTGCAATCAGACATGATTATAATCCATCAGCTGAGTGGATGGCATTTTCTGAAGCCCTAGGGACACAGTTGCACACATTCACCAAAGTGCAGTAGACAAGAAGGAGCACAAAAATGATACCTACTAGTTGGTCTCCTCTCACGCTTTCACCTCCAATCTCCTGCTCCCTCCGGCCATACCTCTGCCCCTTTCTAGTCTCCACAACAGCCGCCAGTCCAGGCACAAAGTCGGATTGCCAGTGCGATCTGAAATTGCATATTTTGGGGGCGGAGAATGTCCTGCTAAGTTTCAATTGCAAAGATATAATCCTCAGTAAACGGAGTACCGAGGAGATGAGGGGGAGGGTGTCCCACTGTTAGACTCTTCACAAATCCTCTTCAATCCTTATGTCATTCTTACTATGAAAATTGGTTGGCAATGCCAGTTGACCACATACAGTTGCATGGTAGTCTTAAGATAAAGATTGGTTTGCTTATAGTTTGGGACCAAACTTTTGGCAGTGCGAGTATTCTGTGAGGACACGTACATGTCTTGAACTTACATGTCCATGTATATGGCAAGATAAGCCCCAGTTACATGTGTTAGAGTAAAAACAAGGATGATTGTCATCCAGTGAAAGCTGGATATTAAACCTTTGTTCCCTGAGCAGGTCAGATGGAGGCCCTGAAATAATGAAGCAACAGCATGTGTCCTGAGAGGAGGGCGGGTGCAGAGAGAGTATAAGCTGCAAGGACATACTCAAGGAGCTGAAGCTGCTCTGCAAATCTGTCTTCCTTCCCCAACAGACAGATTATTTTCCTGCTCCAGGAAATGTCAGAGCTGCCTCGAGACGAAATGTAGCTGGCCTCTAGGAACCAGCACTTACTGGGCTGTCCTGGTGGCTCTGTTCAAGCGATGGAAAAAAAGGAACTATTTACAACCTTGTGGAGTTGAATTTGACTCCTAAGTTTCAGATGTTTTGCCTGAAAAGTACTTACCAAAGTAGAGTTTATAGGGGCATGAGAAACAGAGAGCAGCCAGGAGAGAAACAACTGCTGGCCTTAGACATGCTTGTTACATCATATTATAGCTTAGCATCCCTAATAAAACACAGCCATTCAAGTCAGCGGGTTCAGACTGTTTGGTCAGGCAACTCACAGTAAATCCTGGATTTCCTAGCAGCATGACACAGGTATTACAACTCTGCCAGGTAGGCTGCGGACCAGGAGGCATCCCCCTTTGAATGGAAGCCTAGTCTTTGAGAGAAAGCTTTGATAACACATGTTAGTGATGAGAGCTGTAACACAAGGATGAAGGTAGACAGACTTCAAAGTGAGTTGAGCTAGGAGCGGAGAGGAGAGGAAGTAACTCCTGCTGGTATGGTAGTGACGGCGTAGCTGTTCACATGCCCTCATGGCAAAATACAGCCGCAAGACCACAGGGACTTTCAAAGTAATGGCGACTGGATAAACATCAGGGTCCTCAATGTAAATACTCTTGTAGTCCATCAGATCGGTGATGGTGACCTATGCAGTGCGTGATAACCATCACAATCAGTCTCCACATGCAGTCATGTACTTACGACACATCTTCTTAATCGACATGGTCTCCAGGATGATGGCCCGCAACGACAGAATGAGTTAATCTCCCAGAAGAGCAGGGTTTTGATTTCTGTAAATGAGCCCAGGCTGCTGGAGATAGAGGTACGCATACCATCAGAGCAGGACAGGACAGACTACCTCAGTACTCGTTTCAGTCCTGCTGACACATGCTCGTCAGTGTTAACCCCCCCCTCTCTTTCCTCATATGCACTTATATTCTTCCACATTAATGATCCAACCAGGTCTCCAGCCAATCACTTTCGCTGATGTTGGTTCAAGAGATCAAACAGATGCACGATGGCTATACAGTTTTAACTCCCCCCCTCCCTCTCAATCTGTCTGCCTGCCTGGGATCTTAAAGTTAGAGTAGGTATGGTATTTCAGAAGCATTTATTTGTTATATTTGTTGAAATTATCTTTAAATCTCGACAGCAATCAATTAAGCAAATGCCCTAAAAGAAAAAAAGAAAAATCTGGTGTCTGTGGCTGTCGCAGGCCTGTACCTGCCTCTCTACCTGCGCACGCTCTGCCAGTACAACTCAATGCACACGAAAATGTGTTTTGGAGAGATACCTGAAGGGCTTAGAGAGTAAGTTTCAATAGCTGCAAATCAACATAAGAATTTGTATGTGGTTTGACCTGACTGACTATATTCTGTGTGTATTTACTCTTTTATAGCCACTAGAAATAGAGACTATAGCCAAAGATATACATTTGTGGTCTGTTGTTTCCTTTAACTAGATCTAGCTTAAATTGTGTATCGCATGTATCAGGATTGTAATTACTTTAATAATCAATCAATTGTTATCCTTCAAGCAAAAGTAGTGAAAGAAATTACAAACGTTCTTTGTTTCCAGCTTGTTACTCTAAACGATTTACTTGTCTTTGTTGTGTACTACTGTACGCTGAATATCCTTGGGTTTTGGACTTTTGGTTGAACAAATCAAGACATTTGTAGATGTCCCCATTGGGTTCTTGGGCCATATCATATACTAAACTATTACTCTATTGATAAAAAGAAGTTAAAAAAGAAATAGTAATAAAGTAATAAAAAGAAAATAATTGTTAGTCACAGCTCTAATGTTTTTATCATTTCAAACAGTTTGCCACTATCAGAGAGAAGTTAGTGGAACTTTTAAACCCAAATGTTATAATTTCATGATTGCATGCAAACAAGTAGAGTGGTTTCCTATTATATGCTGTCAATGGAACTTTATCAATCACCAAAACAATGAAAAAACTTTTTTATTTCTTCTATTTTTTTTTTTTTTTTTACAAATCATCCTTAATGTGTAGATTCTCTCTAAATCTACATCTTTGAAGAGTTTATAAATATAGTATATTGAAATGTGTTATTTAAAAGGCATCCGTATGTGTGTGTGTGTTTGTGTGTGTGCGTGTGTGTGCGTGTGTGTGGTTGTGTGTGCGTGTTTGTAACTGTGTGTGTCTCAGAGGATTATTTCCAATGGCTGATTGTTTGGTGTGAGCTTTGCAAAGGGATCGAGATATAATCCCCGCCCCGCCCCTCCATCCTCCCCTCGTTCAACAGAGGGAGAAGAGGATGGCCACTGCAGCTCTACAACGCTGCTCTACAACACACTCCCCACATACTAACGCTGGTATCAAACACACATACAGCACAGTTCGGCATGCATCCATTCGAGGATTTAAGTGTGTGGTTATCTTGACCAAAACTATATCAGTATGCAATGTCTTGAAATGAATGCACTGCAGCATTCTGCAATAATGGCAAATGAGGCATGCACTGCCAGACGCCAACTCTGGAACTTTTCTACTAATTACACTTCGAGAAATTACACAAAAATGTTTCCAAAGAGCTCACAGCAGCAGGAAGGGGCTCTTATTACACTTTGCATCATAAACTATATGTATATATAAATACTGCACTTAAATGCAACTGTAGCATGTATCCTGTTATTGCTAAGTAAACTTTATTTTGTAATTTTTCCAGTTTTAATGTGCTATAGACCCTAAACACAGTTACAATTAGTAGATATTATGCAATTGGCAGCAATTACTCTGACATAGTGCTTCCTCCAGTTGACGTTGTGTGGTGTATAGGGTTGGGTTCCTCTAGCAGGATCAGACAGGTAAAATATTATGTAGTCAACAATCTACAAGCGGCTTGTGTTTGTTGTGGATTATAGTGATAATGGCGGTAACAGTAAAAGTACGTGCTACTGTGAACTCATACTAGTTGAACTGATATAGTCATATCGCTAATAGGGATTTGCATGAGTACTCAAGTACTTGCAGATAACGCTTTCAGTCACATATCTCTCATCTAACGTTACAGGCTGAAATGCAGATTAAACACAGATGTCACCTCATTATTATTAGCACCTCATTTGCTAATGTAAGCAGTGTTATCAAGAGCCGTTGTGATGCTACCAGGGCAGAGACAAATAGCCGGCTCAAATCATAAGTGCCGACTGGAGTTTGCTCCTGTTAAATGTATCTTCAATCGCTTGAGTGTTCATTTCGAATGCTTTCCTTTCTTTTCCTTTTTAGAGTACTCGAGTACTCAATAATAATTCAATGCGAGTAGTCGAATTTAAAATGCCAATCCCTAATTTGCTGACAGACGAGTAATCTCTATGTAAGAATTTATGTAAATAACAGTAATGGCACAGAAACAGATGCAGGCCCCCACCCCTCTCAAGTATCAGTCAAAGTTCAAAGTTCAAAGCCGATCGGTACGTAATTCCTTCAACATATGCACAACTGTCATCAAACACGTGTCTGGTGCATGACTTTACCAGATAGCTACAACAGAAGGTTAAACAGTTTGTATTAACCCTCTCAGTGAAGGTCAGCTGTGGACTGCACTCAGTCCATCATCACTCACGGGCCAAAACATGTCCTCACTTGGCATGTTTTAATGCCTTACCAACAATTCGCTGCTCGACTTTCGACTAAAACCAGAAAAACAGATCACGTCACTTTGCCTGTGACTAAAAGGGTTGCCTCTTTGTTTTGTGATTACTTTACAATTGTTTTGGTTAGATTCAAGAGACTTCATGGCTTCTTGAGCTGTAGTTCTTAAATATTAAGTTATATTAAGTTAGTTAAAAATACTCATAATTGCAGACATAGACCATGAAAGGACTTCACATTTAATATCACATTCATATTTGATAAATGCTGTCAAGTCCCAACGCCTTTTGTTGTAGAAATGTCTCTCACCTGTGTTTGCTGACAGTTGCCTGTTTAAGATTATTATTTTATTGGTCACATTCAAGGGACATCATGGCTGGGCTATTGATTAACGTAACATTTGTTTAATAATACCTATTTTACTTTTTCACTGCAAGATTCAATGGATATAGGGCTGCAAGTAGTTATTTTCATTACTGATTAAACTGTTTAATACTTGTGTTAGTTAATCATTTAATCTGTGCCCATCACAGTGTCCATGTGGCGTCTTTAAATGTCCCGAGATATTTATTTTACAATGATAGAAAACCAACAGGAAGAAAATGCTGATAAATGACTAAAACGATTCATTATCAAACGCTTTTTGGTTAATTTTATGTTGATCAGTTAATTGATTAATTAACTTTTAGAACATTATAGCATTAAAGAGATGTTTGGACAAAAATTTACTATTATTTCATTAAAAAAAAATTAAAATGTCAACAAATATTTAAAATAGAAGGAGTGTTCACACCTTACCCAATGACCTCAATATGAAATCCAAAACCTGTGTAAAAATCAAACATTATTTAACATTGCAATGATCAATGAAAACACTTGAGCTTGTTGTGTGCTGGTGTGTGTGTGTGTGTGTGATTTAGTCTGCATCTGTGTGGTCCACACATGTCCAAAGCAACACCAAATCCTCCTCTCCTCCCAATCTTCTTCGGCCACGATAATCTGAGTGGTATTAATCTGTGTTTGAAGCTCTTAAGCACAACGGTCTAATACATCTGCTCTCTCCCCTCTGCAAGCGCTGCTATTTATAACCACCCTTTCTCTCCTTTCTCCTCCCTTCTTTCTTTTTGAATCTGTCGTCGCAATTTCTCTATCGCATCCTCACTCAAAAGCAGCAAACTGAATTTCACTACGTCATTCCTCCGTACAGTAAATCCATCTTCCGTCATTTTGCCAACAGACGTCTTTGGAGACTCCTTATTCCAATTCTTTAAATCTCTCTGATCCTCTCCTCTCTGCAGCAACAACAGAGCTGGCTAAAAACAATGCTGAGATAATGATAGAATATTACAGGTCACACTGTTTCAAACAGCAGATTTAAAAAAGTAAAAGTATGTGGTTATCTTTGTCAAAAACTGCACCGTTTATCCTAATACACCAAGTCATCCTTCTCCCTGGAGAGGAATAAATACACATCAACGGCAATAATCATAAATATGTAACCCCACACAACAAGAAAGCAGCCATTCTGAGCACCCAAATCAAATCATAGTAACCCTGTCAAAGCTGATAAATGGTCACGAACCGTCATTGTGTCAGCGTGAATGAATTGAAGTGGTACTGACGGGAGGTAAAAAGGACAACAAGGAGGCAACCAGGCCTTACCCTGCATGTGTGTCGCTGTCTCCCATCCGACAAAGAGCGAGGCATCGGGGAGACACGCGGGGAGAGGAGGGTACGTGGAGATGAAAAGGGGGAGAGACGGGAGGCAAAGTCACAGTCCTTTACGCGTCATCCTGAGAAGAATTTCAGATTAATACACAGCCTTGGTGCTCTGAGCCCCACCAGATACCCCCAATCTCACCACTCGCTCTCTCTCCTCCCTTCCCTTTCTCTCTCCACTCGTTCACTCACTTTCCTCTCCATCTTTGAACTGTTATCAGGAGAGGAGGAATCACTGTTCTCTTTGATATCACCGCAAGGATAGAGGAGCAAGATAAGAAAGTTGGTCCTCAATTCTTTAAGAAATTAGGTTGTTTGCAGAAAGTATGCCTCCCAACAGGAGGTCAGCAGATTATGGGGGGGGGGGAGTAGTGGAGGGGCGAGGG